GCACAGTCATTACAGCAACAAGACAACACCATTACAGCAACAAGACAACACCATTACAGCACAGTCATTACAGCAACAAGACAACACCATTACAGCACAGTCATTACAGCAGCAAGACAACACCATTACAGCACAGTCATTACAGCAACAAGACAACACCATTACAGCACAGTCATTACAGCAACAAGACAACACTATTACAGCACAGTCATTACAGCAACAAGACAACACCATTACAGCACAGTCATTACAGCAACAAGACAACACCATTACAGCACAGTCATTACAGCAACAAGACTTGTCAGGAAGAAGACTGATAATTGAGCCTCTTAACTTTTGTGCTGTTATTAATGACCGTAACCAGCGTCATCATAACACCTGTAATTAGTGACGTAACATACATGCATACATACATACATACATACGTACGTACGTTATTCACTGGCTATGACACACACACATGTACACGGGGCCAGGTCGAGTGTACAGACCTGTATTAATTAAGTTAGCAGCCTCAGATATACACGCTAGCCTTCACCTGTTGATAAAAATGTCAAAGGTGTGTGTGTGTGTGTGTGTGTGTGTGTGTGTGTGTGTGTGTGTGTGTGTGTGTGTGTGTGTGTGTGTGTGTGTGTGTGTGTGTGTGTGTGTGTGTGTGTGTGTGTGTGTGTGTTAATATTGTTGACAGATATATTTATTGTTTATATTTTTCTTCCTCTTTTTCCTCCTCCCGTTTTCTCATCTCCCGACCTCCTTCTTCTTCTTCCTCCTCCTCCTTCTCTCTCCTCTTCCTCCTCCTCCTCCAGCATCTTCCTGAAAATTAATGTCTCATTTTACTAACTTGTGTCTGAACATTTATGTCTCAGTGCTCGTGTGTGTCTCATTCCTTACTTTTTATGTCTCATTTTGTCCTCATCATACTAATATTCTCTCTCTCCTCTCTCTCTCTCTCTCTCTCTCTCTTCATTTTTTCTTATATTTTGTTTACATCTGTGATCTTGGCGTTGAATCGTGGCATTGAGCGTTGAATCTAAATATCACCATTATCATCACCATTACCTAACACCATTATCACCATCATCACTATCACTTCTGCGGCAGCCAATCATAATTCGTGTGTTGTGTGTGATATCACCATAGTACATCACCATTACCAGCATGTAGTTAGTGTGTCACCACCATTTCACCATCATCACTACCATCACCATCATCACCACCATCATCACCATTTTCAGTCTCAAGGGTGGTACTCAAGGCTGGTACTCAAGGGTGGTATACTCAAGGGTCGCACTCAAGGGTGGTAATCTGAAGTGGTACTCTCAGCTGGTACTCAGGGTGGTATTCTCAGATGATACTTGAAAATACCACCCTTGAGGCTTATTTGAGAATACGAATCTTGAGTGCCACTTGAACCCCCCCCCCCACCGGTGAGTGCCATGTGAGGATACAGCGAGTAATTACGTGGGTGCCAGTAACAGCAGAGACCAACTAATTGCTTATTACTGCCACAGAGTTAACAAGATTCTGAAACAATCGTAAGGTCTCTCTCTCTCTCTCTCTACTAAATTAAGGATTAAGCTGATATATTAAGTACAGTTTCTGGGTAGTTTCGACGCCATTTTGAGCGGCAGGTTTGTGTCGGTGGTTTAGGGAGATCCATTGTTGGGTTTTGTTTTTGTGGGATTTAATTGAGTTTTTTTAAGTTGTTAGTTCATGATTATGGAGAGAGAGAGAGAGAGAGAGAGAGAGAGAGAGAGAGAGAGAGAGAGAGAGAGAGAGAGAGAGATTACTGGTATATAAGGAAGACATTATTTGTTTGTGTGTGTTTAACCAAATTAACTAGTGTGACGTCAGGTGTGAACCTTTAAGGTGACCCCAGGTACAATATCTCACCTGGGTTGGTTGGTTGGATATTCACCTCCCCAAGCCAGGTGAATTTTTATACACTGTTTAGGGGTCACCTTAAAGGTTCACTGTTGACGTGACCTAAGTTAATTTGGTTACACACACACACACACACACACACACACACACACACACACACCTCTGTTGACACTATCTTCAGAGGGTGGCCGCCGCTTGCCTACACTACTACAGTTGTTGGTGGAGTGTGCGTGTGTATGTGTACTACTATACTACATAATAATAATAATAATAAAATCGACTCCTACAATTATATTAAGACTACACCACTCATCACTCCACAACAGACAACGTACTCCCACAACAAAATAGACAAACACATTATCTTAATTTAAATTTCCCCGACCCCCTCCCCCTCCTCCCCTTGCCCGGCCTGCTGTACGATGAAGGCAGTGTTTACAGAGTCGCCAACGGGGTCACAATGTCGAGTGAGAAATCCCGTTCAGTGTGTTTTTCGTGGGAGCAACACTCATTAATATTTACCCAGCAGCAGGCACCGACGGAGGGGGGGGGGACTGGGATGGAGGGAAGAGCACTAGAGTTGCATTTAGCATGATACTCTGGGGTGTGGACAGTAGCCTAGAGGCTGTAGTAGGGCATCGTAAGCTGCAACTGTTTAGTATCGTACCTTAATGTGGTGTTAGTTGTGTTGTACAGTCACCTACTAGTCGCCTCCTCATCTTGAACCACGACCTGCAAAGATTCAGAGCAGGAACCCGGAAGCTGGTGCAGACACATGCATTATTCTATCCATAAATGCTTCGGATTCACGAGTTTGAATCTTGAGGTTCGTGGTTCAAGAGGAGAGGCGACAGATCTTTGTGGATAACTGTACCGTACCTCAGTGTGTTGTACCGTACCTCAGTGTGTTGTACCGTACCTCAGTGTGTTGTACCGTACCTCAGTGTGTTGTATTGTACCTTAGTGTGTTGTACCGTACCTCAGTGTGTTGTATTGTACCTCAGTGTGTTGTATTGTACCTCAGTGTGTTGTATTGTACCTCAGTGTGTTGTATTGTACCTCAGTGTGTTGTATTGTACCTCAGTGTGTTGTACCGTACCTCAGTGTGTTGTATTGTACCTCAGTGTGTTGTATTGTACCTCAGTGTGTTGTATTGTACCTCAGTGTGTTGTATTGTACCTTAGTGTGTTGTATTGTACCTTCATGCGTTGTATCGTAGTCACATTGTATACCTCTGTGTCGTATAGTGTAGCAGACAGTAGTGTACAACGTCGCATCGTACGTCAACAAAATAAAATAAAACATTGTGTGCTACATATCCTGCCTCTTGTATATCATGTCTCTTGTATATCATGTCTCTTGTATATCCTGCCTCTTGTATATCATGCCTCTTGTATATCATGCATCCTGACACACGAGAAATTTATGACAGTATTACATTCAAGTTCTCAAACACACACGTCTCATCTCTCTCTCACACACACACACACACACACACACACATACACATACACACACACCGGCGTCACATTCCCAGGGTACACTTGAAGGCCGCAACACTCAGCAGCGACTGGCAGGGAATATTTATTGTCTTGGTACCATTTTGTGTGTGGGGAAATTTACTATGTACGCTCACGTGAGATGAAACATTTCCCCTGAACTAGTATTAAGTGGGGGAATTTTCTTTAATATAGTATAGTATTTTAAATATTGAAAATTATTTATAAGTAAGATTTGTTATTAATATTTTGTACTGAAGTTTTGCCATGTTGTGGGGAATATTTACTATGTACTTGTAAATGCAGGAATTAAGGTAGGGAAGAAAATAATGTCTGATCATATTTTTGGATATTTAACAAACGTATCTGGTTAAGGTTAGGTTATGTATCCAGGTTAGGTTATGTATCCAGGTTTGGTTAGGTATCCAGGTTAAGTATCGTTACATTCTAATATGGCTTAACATTACACTTGTATGAATTAAAAGTATATGAATAATCAAATGAATATATGACCGACCATTTATTCACATTGTCCAGATTTTGAGAGTCCATTTGTTCCAGAGTCCAGATTTTGAGTCCATTTGTCCCAGAGTCCAGATTTTGAGTCCATTTGATCCAGAGTCCAGATTTTGAGTCCATTTGTTCCAGAGTCCAGATTTTGAGAGTCCATTTGATCCAGAGTCCAGATTTTGAGTCCATTTGTCCCAGAGTACAGATTTTGAGAGTCCATGTGTCCCAGAGTACAGATATTCAAGTGGCATTATCTTCTGCCCCAAAGAAAAAAATAACGTAGAAATCTCTAGAACATCGAGGGAGTGGAATAGGGGTAGTAGTGGTGGTAGTAGTGGTGGTGGTAGTACTATTTGTGGTAGTGGTGGTGGTAGTAGTGGTGGTGATAATGGTGGTGGTAGTACTATTTTTGGTAGTGGTGGTGGTGGTAATAGTGGTTGTCGTAGTGGTAGTAATAGTGGTTGTAGTAGTGGTAGTCGTAGTCAAGTCCGCCTGGGTGAAAAATATGAACCACCGTGATGGAAACACTGAAGAGCTGCTGAGTTTGCTAATTGGAAGCGCAAATTGAGCGGGAAATGCAGTCAATTATTTTGGATTTTCTGGGGGTAACGGGAACGAGTCTTACCCCTTAATGATGATGATGATGATGGGGGGCAGGGGAAGTGGGGTAGTCTTGCCATCTTCTCAACCGCTGAGGATGAGGTTAGGGACTGGAGTTCGCTGAGTTGAGCATTGTGATTTTTAATTTGTTATTTTTTTTTCTTCTAAGTCTTGTGGAGTTTGTTTATATATTTTAATGTTTAGAATTTGTTGTTTTACCTCATATGGCCATTCATTCTCTCTCTCGTGTACACATTAACCGTAAAACCCCATCATAACTTCATCTTCTACAAGGGACCACAAAATACCTTAACTTTATGGCACATATGACCATTCCTACACCACTACCCCCCACCACACTACCACCACACCACCACTACCCCAACACTCTGAAATTCCTACCACATCTTTCCTACCACCATTAAGTTACGGAACAAAAGATTGATTTATTATTTTTTTTTATTACTATTATTATTTGTACTAACATTCTTTCTCTCCCGCTAACAGACGGACGGGTGCTGCCAACAGATATCCGACAACGGGTGTTCGACAACGGTACGCTGGTCATTACTCAGACACAGAGAGACACTGATGGAGGACGCTACACCTGTCGAGCTTCTAATAGACACGGCCATATAGCTTCTCGAGACGTCACCGTTACCGTCACAGGTCTGTTACTTCCTGTTGTTGCTTGTTCCTTTTATCGTCACAGGTCTGTTACTTCCTGTTGTTAGAGTTTCTGTTAGGTTCTTACCGTTGTTTGGTCGTCTTCTTTTCATGGGGGAGATACAATGACATTTCCCTTCATTTGTCTCCCGTTGTCATGCTGGTTCTATCTCTTTCAATTACTGTAGATCATTAGCTTAATCTTGTTTTTGTAGTAATATGCCACCATTAGTAGTCCATTCCCGTTATTCGCCATTTACAGTAAGTTCCCGTTGGATGTATCTTTGTGTTGTTTATCTTTGCACGAGCGAGTAATCTGACTTTGCTCTGTAAATCCTGGGAGAATCCGTTCCTGTTGGCCCCGAGATCTGGATAAATGCCGGGATGTGTAGTCGAGATTACCAACCCATGTTCTTCCTCTGTTGGTTGATCTCAGCGGAAACGTGTACAGGTGTGTGTGACTAGAATAACCGGAGAATTATTACGTCTGTTATTCTAGATGAAGAAATGCTTTGACTTGTCGATAAAATCTAATTTACTTATTTCTTTAACTGTTATAATATCATCAGTATATATATTTGTTATACTGACACTCACAGTTTCTGATTGACTGCCGCGTCCAGGATATTTTTGGAACACGGGCGCCTATTTTCGTGATGCACCTCAATATTCACAACTTAATCACTTTTACGACACATTTTATGAGTACTTAGAATTATTCATATAGTTAGGTGTAAATTTGACTGTGTGGGAATATAGTAAGATGGCCGTAGGATTGTAAACTATTCAAATATAGGTGTAATTCATGTCTTTCTCCTGGCCCGGCACCAGGGTATTTTTCCAGACCATCCCGCCAGCTAGAGTTCCAAGATTAACGCTTGAGCTAGCAGGCCGACAGTAATTTTTCTACAGCGCTCAGATTCCTCGCTGGCGCAGATTATACCTCGCTCACTCGAGTTTGGAAATGTAACAAAATGTTTATCTTGTGATATTTAAACTTCTGAGGTGGGTTTAAACTCTGGGGCTGTATAACGGTGAGCAAGAGAAATTGTGAAGTTGTTATATTTCGTGGCTTGTTTTAGCTATTATTACCGATATTAATATAACCGTTATTATTATTATTATTATTATTATTATTATTATTATTATTATTATTATTATTATTACCATAGTAGTAGTGGGAGTGGTGGTGTTATTATTGTTTGTCATGGTAGTTACAATAGTCCACGTACAGGAAACAAATTGGGAACAGAAATTCTTATCTCTTGACTGTCCGTGCCCGTGATTGTCCCTGGTCCTGCTAACTTCCTTTTTAATACATCATCGTCAAGTTGGTGGTGTCGTGGCTACAAGTACCTTCATGCCGGGGCTGGTGGGCATAACGTTGTTCAACTCTCAGGTGAAATAACCTGGGGTGTCTAACCTTCAGGTGATATGAAAATTGCATAGAAGATTATTCAGATAATTTTAATAGCTGCTCCCCCACAGTGCCACCCAAGATTATGCCGTTTTCCTTCGCTAACAACATCTTGAGTGAAGGGAACCGGGCCTCCCTCACCTGCCAGATCCTGGAGGGAGACCTGCCCGTCAACTTCAGGTGAGAGATGCTGCTACACCTGTCCGCTCATATGTCCGTCCCACCATGTATCAAATATTACATACACACATGTAGACCTACAGGTGCCCGTATGTATAATTATCATCCTCTTGGATGAGTGGACATATAGTGATCAGTGTATGTACAGTATGTGTATGTTTGTGTGTGTATGCGTAATCAAAATTTACCAGTCAGCTTAAGTTTCGCCTATAATCTTAAGTTTTTGGTTTGTCATTAAAAGTTTATAAAGGTGACTTGTCGTCAAGTTTTCAGCAGAATTTCTTACCATTTCATATGGATGGGTAATACGTGTGTGTGTCCAGCTAGTGTTGCTCCTTTAAGTACTAAGTATATCCACCTTAAAATGTCTTACATATAAATATTGCCTTCAATACTTTCCATTAAGTGACATATAGTTTGAATGTACAGTATGTTAAAGATATAATACATGTTAGAAAGGAGACTCAGGGTGCAGACAAGTCTTCACTATCCACACCAGAAAAGTTTTCCCTTCGGTGTTGTATATTAAAGTTATATCTTACTGGCCACCAAGAAGGGATTGAACTTGGAGAATATTATTGAGGCAATATTGAGGAAAAGTAAAAGGATACATGATATTAGGAAGAAAGTAAGTGGTAGTAATATTGTAGAGCTGATGAGAGTTGGCAATGATTTGTGTTTAGTGAACGTGACTTTATCCTCGGCAGGTGGGAGAAGGATGGAGGTCCTGTACCTATATATGATGGCATCACTACCCGCCTCCTGGACGACTACCAAACACAGCTGGTTATTGACCGCATTTCCTCGAGGCATAATGGTGAATACACTTGTCTTGCCTCAAATGCTGCTGCCACTCGTCACTACACTGCCAAGCTCACAGTTAATGGTTAGTACAGTATCAGCATAGTTATAATCGTAAATACTGTATTGAGGTATTCGAAATAACAGGTAAGTTTTTTTATACCCCAAGATTTTTTCAGGTTGAGATATACTGATACAGTATTTAACAAATGATTCCTGCGATAGAATTTAGTTCTTTATTGTGTGGAGGATTTGTGAGTACAGTATATAGGAGCAGTGCCCTTCTTCATGGCCCCTCCCACCAAGATCTATAAAGGCCAGAGTGTACAAAATGAGGGAAATAATTGTCAGACTAAGATGAAAGTGAGTCATAAAGTTAAAACTGTAGAAGTTATTTCAATAGGGAAGGACTGTGTTCTGTAAATATACTGTATGTTATATGTAAAAGAGTGGAAATGTTAAGTGCAACTGTGGGGATTCTCAACGAATGGACAAGTGGGAACAGTGAGTTGACTTCCAAATCTACAACCCCCCACCCAAGCAGAGGCAGCCATTGTACAGTATAAGTAGACATATATACTGTACATAATATACCTGGCCACACCCCAAATAATATGGTGAATAGACTAATTGAGGCAGTTGCTGAGAATGTAATGGGGCCAGATGGTAAAGAGTAGTACAGTACTGTATGTAGAGGTGTACAGTTTAATTAGGGATCTGATGAAATTAAATCTAGCAGTTCCATTACTGGCTGCAGCCTTTAGTATAACCTTTTAGTTCTTGTCTTTAATATGTGGATCCAGTATAAGTAATATATTTTCCTTGTCCAATCATCACAGAAGTATCCATCGAGAGGTGTCTTCACAGTACGTATTCAGGGAGATAATGGGGGAGGGTTTCACTATTTTATTTGAAGTAATATACTGTATAGAAACTGTTCTTCTTTAGTTTGTCCAGTACTCCTCTAGATCCCAATTACTGTACAGTATATAGTTGATCTCTTACAGATAGACCAGTGGTATGTACTGGACTGTGGTGTATTGATACATTACAGTACTCCAATGGTTACACCAATAATTATTGGTTCTCCCACAGTTAGACTGGTGCAGTACGGTAGTTTGGTGTCCTGACAGTTGTGTCAATAATACACTATGTCGGTCTCCCACAGTTCCACCACACTGGGTGACAGAACCACAGGACAGCGGGGCGGCGCAGGGTAGCACTGTTACGCTCAACTGCCAGGCAGATGGCTATCCCACACCCACCGTCACCTGGAAGAAAGCCATCACAGGTGAGATTTGTTATACTGTACTGATCATGTCTTCAATGTAATTTTTTTGGTCTTTTAGCTGCCATTAGTAACCTCTTTAACTTAAATGGTTTATGTGTATATATATATATGTATATATATATGTATATATATATATATATATTATATATATATATATATATATATATATATATATATATATATATATATATATATATATATATATATATATATATATATATATATATATATATATATATATATATATATATATATATATTATTTATCATAATATCCTGTTATGTTAAAACTGTTACAAGATGCACCTTAAGTCAATTGGCTCAGACTAAAATCAAGGAACTAAGATACAATTAATCTGCTGGACATAAGTAATAAAAACTTGGCATACAAACCCGTGTTATGGAATGATAGTTTTAATTTATAACATCAAGTTCTACTTAAACTATTGTGAGAAAAGTTTAGCATAGTACAGGTAATAAGACTGATGGTGCTACTCTAACTGGTGAGGTTCACCCACAGATGACAGTGACAGCAGCGGCAGTGGCAGCAGTGTGGGTGGCAGTGGTGGCAGCAGCGGACAAGGAGACTACCAAGAATTAGTGTATGGAGCTCATGTGGAAGTATTTAATAATGGCTCAGTGGTGTTTAGGAATGTTCAGAAGGCAATGGAAGGCAAATACCTTTGTCAGGCTCGGAATGGAATTGGAGCAGGACTCAGTAAGGTTGTCTACCTTACTGTCAATGGTGAGTGCTTGCTTTCTTTTGTATTGATTTAATATATGAACCTACAGCTTAATACAGTATTATATCAGTACAGTATACAGTGAACCCTCACTTTACGCGGTCAATTGAACCCACGGCGGCCCGCATAAAGTGAACAACATAACATATGGGATTAATTGAAATAGAGACCGGGCCGACCCCCAAACTCCACTTTTTCAGACACAATACCTACGTTGTAGTAAAAATAACTTCTTAATTTTATGATCGTATGCACACACAATTAATAATTAAGTGAAATATCAATAATATTAGGTTTTTTAACACTTACATTAGTAGAAAAGATGGCTGGGCACACAGGGATGGGAGGTTGGTTCCGAGGCAGAGGACAGATTATTGGCCCTCACCTGTATCACTTGTATCACTATCCACCACAGAGGCTTGCAGGGCCTCTTTGTCAAACCCCTCAAAGTCCATATAAGTCCATATCCTCATTATCATTATCACTATCACTGACATAGGCCGGCTGTGGTGAGTGGCGGGTGAAGAACTCGGTAATGTTTTGACGACTGGGCGACCTTGTGCGCACCCTGCTCGCGCCGCTCTCCACGTAAAAGGGTACTCACACCGCAGAAAGTGAGCATTCCGTGTTCGGCAGGGTACCGCGTAAACGTGGAAACGCGTAAAGTGGGACCGCGTAAAGCGAGGGTTGACTGTGATGAAATTCAAGGATTTCAACTGAGTTTAATGGAGTCACCTGCAAGTTTCAGCATCCTTCATTCTTAGTCTAAATTACCGGTAGAAGCTGTTACGTTTGAGTTGCTCTCAGTGTGGCCATTGTTTATCATATGGCCATTGCACATGTACCTTTACATGTGACGTTACAGTGCAATACATTGTACTGTACTTTGTTTTGACTGTTGTATGTCTGTTGTATAGTGTACTATTGCAATATACAGTATATTTTTAATTTCTGCCTCATTTCGGTGGATTATTACTATAACTTTGGTGTTGGTACATACTATTAGCTGTTGGTAGAGATGTGATCATAATAATGTAATAATGGCTAATGTACAATAGTTTTTGACTTTTAAGAAACCTTAGTAATATTGCAGCTCCGGCACACTTTCCTGAGAAGATGGGTCGTGTGGTAGTAAGGTTGGGTCAGACGGCGATGTTGCGTTGTCCAGCTCATGGTGATCGTCCCATTGACATTCTGTGGTCTGTTGATGGTCGTCGCCTCGACCCTCATGCTGATCCTCGGTAAGTCATTGAGTACCTATAATGGTACTGACCAGTATTGACAACCCTCAGTAGCTAAATAATCTCATGTCAATCTCTTTCTCTAGATTACCTCAGGGAGTTTTGACCTTACCCTGCCAGCTGTTACCACCCTGTGGGTTGGCATTAGGAAGGGCATCCAGCCATATAACTTTGCTTCAACATGCCTGATGGCAGCTGGGTCACAATAGCTGTGCCCATCCCCTGGTCTTTGCTGAATTTTCTGGGCTGGCCCCCTGGGTTTGCAGTGGTGAGCGGGGAAGGGGACATCCTGTCTAGTTTTACCCATCAGGTGATCTCAGCTGACCTGCACAAGCATGGAAAATGGCTATAATAGGTTGATGATGATGGTCACTATCATCATCAACATTTTATGATCATTTTCAAAACTTAAATGAGTTAGCCCATATAGATAATATTAAGTTACTGTCAAATAAGTATAAGTTACACATGGTGTGAGGGGTGCGGTAGTCAAGTAGATACAGCACTTGCCTCCTGTTCCAGGGGTTGGTGGTTCAGTTTCTAGGTGCTCCAAGTTCACCCAGCTGTAAGTGAGTGCAGTACCGACCATGCTGCCTCCTTGGGTACCAAATGCTGCACTGTATCCACACTGTCCCTAATGGGCAGTCAAGCATATGGGACTTACTTTCACATTCACTCACATTGTCCTCGGTGAATAACAGATATAAATCAGATGATCTTATAGGTAACTCTAGTTCTGGGCCAGTAACTCAGTGGGTTTTTTATAATGATCAATAATTTTAAAAGAAATATGGACTGAAGTAAGTAGCCATCAATATTTTTACATAAAGAAATTTTGAGTTTACATTCATTGTTGGATAAGTGGCAGATTAGATACCAATTTTTTTCCCAAATAAACCAGTCAGAATTATCTTGGGTTAATACTGTAACCAGGTAAAAACCTTGAATTCACACACATAGTATTTTTTCTTTGTTGTGTTAGCTTCTCATATAACCATAATATAACTGACTTACCTATATGGTATGTATGATATGACACTCATAGTGACATGATAGTGCGGGAAGAAGCATTGTGTTGTCACCGTTGATGATCATGGATGACTTATATCTCCTTACAAGTGTTTTTCTATGTTTATGGCAAAAGAAAAGATTCACTCCTATATTCTGTCACACAATATACTTTTTCTTCTCAGGGTTGAGGTACAGGAGGAATCAATTGAGGATGGCCTTGTCTCTAAGTTAGCCCTGACTTCAGCTGCGAGGGCACACTCAGCTACCTACACCTGCCACGCTGCTAATGCATTTGGTCGTGATACTAGAAACATAGAGTTGGTAGTGCAAGGTACTCAGCATTTTTATTAATCAAACTATTTTTTTTAAATAAAAAAATAAGAATAGATTTTGTCAGGACAGTGTTCTTTATCAGTCTTTGAATTGTTTTAGGATTAGTTAATATTGTGTACTAGTGTAATATATGTTGGTCATTCTGCAAGGTGCATTACTTATTTTGATAGATAAAATATGCAAATGGATATTACCCTTGGGGAAAGTTGGTGGTATGGCAGTGTACTTGTAGTGTGCTTGTCTCTCACCTCTGTATTATGGGTTTAACCCCAGGTCACATGTGAGAATGGTGTTATCCAATGTGCCCCTACCAAACATTGCAGGTCTTCTCAGAGTACTGTACTTCAGTTTTTTTTTCTGTACTAAAACTAGATCCATAGCTGGTGAAGGTTAATTAGAAAAAAAGTGGTTGTTTCTACTACCACTATTGACTAGTGTTGTGGAAGAATGCGACAAAATATGATTGAGAGGTAAATAAAGACAGTGAATAGATACTGTAACCCATAGTACAGTACAGTATTGTCAAAACATTTTATTTTCTACATGGCAACATATTCTTAATAAATAATCAACCCCTGTTGTAGATATCTTTAAAGTGACTTAATGAAACTTCTGTAACTGTCAGAGGAACCGGAACAACCCAAGAACCTGCGTGTGGTGGAGACCCACAGTCGCCGTGTAAAGCTGTCATGGATGGCACCCTACAATGGCAACTCTCCCATCCAGAACTACCTCATCCAATATAAATTAGCCTCAGGTGAGTACATGAATGTCCAGAAACACCAATGAATAAATAGACTGATGTAAGAGGTCACAAAAGCTGATAGATATTTATTTATGTTTTTGTAGAGTATTTAGTACAGAGCAGTCAGCATAATTTATTAGTCTCAGAATTCATACCATGTATATTTATCTCCAGGTTATCATCCATAGTTTCATAATGATACATGAATCATGTATATCATGGCTATTCATTTTTCAAAATAATGTGCTGACAGAGCCATGGCCAGGTGTGCCGGAACAGTTGAGTATCCCTGGAGACCAGACAGAAGGTATCATCCACGATCTTACTCCTGCCACGGCCTACCACCTGAGGGTCACTGCTCAGAACACCCTGGGTCTTGGTACTCCCTCAGAAGTCATACAGGCTGCTACTGATGAGGAAGGTGAGTGTAATAAGAAGTAAAGTCACTTGTATCTTATCAATAATGCCTCACCCCTCCAGGGAGTCCAATGCCATAGTCTACACCCTCTGCCATACCAAACATTCCCAAACCCTTCACTGCTTCATATTCCCTCTGGTCTGCTAACCCAAGATCCAGCATTAGGTATTTCATCTTTATGGGTTAACTTTTGGAACAGTAATTGTAAGTCATAAATAAACTTGAGGAAAGGAGCTTGTAGAAGTGTGTTTGATCTGTCAATAAACTGATCTGTGTCATAAGTCAGCAATGAAGTCTCCAGATACTGTATTATTTTTGTAGTGGTAGTACAGTAGTAGAGTACAGTACCTGATACTTGTACAGTACTAGTAAGTGTAGAGTCATAGCTTAAAACTGATCATTGTTTTTTCTGATAAGTTAAGAAATATGACCATTGAAGAGATTAATTTATTTAATTAATTTTGGATTTTCATGTACATAAAAGATTTTTTTTAAACTGCAATGAGTGAGAGAGAAGAAATTTTGGGGTTAGAAATCTCAATAACTGAGTAATAATTTGGATCACATGATGATTAACCCACCAGCTTATTCACCTGATGATAAAACATCCGAATGCTGCCTGGGGAGTTATGTTAGATAGGTTTAGGTTAGCATTAGGAAGGTTAATATTAAGGTGATATAAGCAGGGGCTAATCTAATCTTAATTAACATAATTAAAAATAAATATAAATAAATCCTCAAGGAAATAGCCCAGCACCCTAAGTGTACCTAAACATTCACATTGATTGACAACTAGCATAAGCTCACTTCTGAAATGAAATATCTGAATTTAGCTTGTACAGATACAGGCGTTCACCCGTGACAAGTGGGGTATCGCAGGGCAAATGTACTGGGAGCTTTGTTGTTAGTTTGTTTCATAAATGATATGCCAGAAGCAATACACTTCTCCATACAAAAGTTTGTTTGTAATGTATATAGAAATGCCCATATAAATAATGTCCCCATGCAAATAGAATGGATGTTTAAAAATAGGAAAATAGATGAAATATTAAAGAAATATAGAAATTTTGCATCTAGAATATAACTATGTATTATAACTAATTATATGAAATATTAGGGATTTCTGTGAGTCCTGAGAGGGACATTCCTGGACTGGGGTGAGAATGACTTATGTCACTTCATCCCTTTGAGATGTATTAATGTTTTTTGTATCTCAATAAACGTATCAATCAAAGTTTGTGGATGATCCTAAGTTATTCAGGGAAATTAAGAACCAAACGGACTGTGAAATGCAACAAGATCTCTGTTAACTTCAGGAGTGGTCAAAGGAATGACTGTTAAGATTCAACGTCACGAAATGCAAAAAGATGCACCTAGGTCGTACCAACAGTAAAGAAGCATATTATATGTCCCAAAGCAATGAGGAAACAACATTAACAGAGACCAAATGTGAAGAGGACCTGGGCGAGTATATTAGCAATGAACTGAATCAAGTGACTAAGTAAGTATGTCTTATAAGAAAGGTGCCCACATACCTAGATGGTCAGACCCCTGTAACACTCAGCAAAAGTGAAGATCTTCCCCATTTGGAGTACTGTCACCCTGTCTGGTTCACAAGATATGCGAGAGACTCAGTGCATTGAAAATGTCCAAAGGAGGGCAACCAGAGATATTGAAATGCCTGTAATTGCTTCGATTTTGCTGTAAGGTGGTAAGGGGTGACTTAATAGAAGTTTTTCAACACCACAGATGACATTATGCTGTTGAGTCACAGCTGAAGGTCGAAGAAGCCACAAGTTCAGACAATCATTTTGGAACAATATGGGAGCTCATTCAAAACCAGATTTAACCAACACTGGCACAGGTACAGACACTTTCTGGACCCAGTACATGGTCTAGTACTTTTCAACAGTGTATAACGGAGTCATAACCGACTGCTTAAGAAGTTAACAAGCTTATCAGTGGTGAAAAGGATAGAGTAATGTACCATAAAACAGAATTTGAAAAGATTGAATCCCAGTTAAGTTATATGGATGAAAATCAAAATGAAAGTGCAAGTACTGTTTACAGTTGTAGGAAAGCAAAACTGTCAAAAACTGGCCAGCATAATACCATAGTTTTCCCTTGTTCATCATGAGTCGGGTATTTTGTTGCCACAGCACTACTACCTCACCTCACCTCACCTGTGCGTTAATTTTCCATAATCATGTTTTCAGAACCTTCAGGTCCTCCTCTAGATGTAAGAGTGACTCCAGAGTCATCAACATCCCTGCGTGTGACCTGGGAACCACCAGCCAGAGACCTGTGGAATGGTAACATTCTTGGGTACTATGTAGGGTATAGGACTCATGCCCATGCTGCTGACTACAACTTTCAAACTGTTGAGGTACTGCTTGTGTTTGTCATGTTTTATAATTGGTACTTACGGTATAAGTTTTGTATAATTTCCTATCAAATTAGTCTAGAAAATATGAAGAAGTGTAGCTTTGTACACGATGTAGTTGTATTTATTATGTAGGATTTTTACTCAAGGTGTATTACAAAGTTATTATTATCAATTCAGGATTTTTTAATGAATCAGTTGTAATGAGTTATTTCTTTATTTAACAGTATTACAAAGGAAGTAAATGCTATATAAGCAATAAAATTACATGACAAAGATTAAAGAATCAAGTGAGAAGAAAACAAATAAAACTACAAATACCATAATCATACTGTATTTAGAAGCATTGTAAGAATTTTCTATCTCCTTATAGAGGCACCATAGCTCAGCTGATAATATTATGGACTCCCAACCTAGGAGATAGGTTGAATCCAGCAGACATGTAGTGGTAGTGTAACATTATCTGCTGCACTATTTGCACCATTGACCACTAACTTAGTCAGTGCCCTGGACTAAGCTAACCCCATTTCTTGCTTGGAGGTCTGCACCCCATCTACTGTATTGTAAAAAGAGAAAGTGGATCCCATAGGCATGACTACCTGTTAGGGACAGTGTGGATACAGCACACTGAAAAGTAAACTTTCAGTACACAAGGAGGCAGCATGGCCAGTACTGCACTCAACTGAATTCACTTCCCCAAGTTGTAATATAGAAACCCATTTACATCTGGATGAACTGGGAGCACCAGGGAATTGAACCACCAACCCTTGGAACAGGAGGCGTGCGCTGCATCCGCTCAACTGCCGTGCTTAAAAAATGATGGTCACAAACTTCATGAAAGGATGAAAAGGAATCAGTATGAAAGAGGAATAAGTGCAGAAAGTGTCAGGTTAACTAACTAAGAATCAATTGGTTGGGTTGGGGGGTTGTGATGTTCCTCACTTGGCTGGAGAAACAAAAAAGGAAACTTGTATCCAGGTGGTAGAAAAGTTGTGATGAAGCAGCTGGAGACTGAAAAAGTATAATAGTGATAAAAATATGTGAAACTAAAATGACAACTGAGGAGAGAATTATGATGATTGTGGAAAGAATTAAGATAAGGGGAGGAAGAAAGTGCTGTAGTGCAGTAGGTGTGAATGAAAAGTGGAGGACATGGTTCATAATAAAATAAAATTAAATACATCAGTGATGGTTCCTTGACTGAGCACTTCAAGTGATATATTTCTTTGTCTTTTTCATCATGTTCAGGTTGGGTCAGCATATGGTGGGAGTTCAACCCTATCTGGCCTCCAGCAGTACACAAGGTATGAGGTGGTGGTCCAGGCCTTCAACAACCGAGGGGCGGGACCTTTATCGGCTCCTGTCATTGCCACCACGGAGGAGGATGGTAAATGTCATTCTCATTTTGTTGTTAATGGGAGTAATGCTTAATTTTTTGTTTTATAATGCTTTACTAATTTTCTATTTAAATTATAACCTTTTAGTTTGGTTTTCATTATTATTTCATATGCTGTACAGGTATTTTGTAACAGTATTTAATATCTGGTAATTTTATACTGAAATTAAGTTGATGTTTAGTGCATTGCATTGTACTTCAAAACAGATACAGTAGAGCTCTTGTAGTTCCATAGATTTAGTTTCATGTTTATGGTACGTAGTCATAGCTTTTTTAACCCTAAATGGTGGTCATCATCTGTGGAAGTTCCATATTCTTTGGGGTGGGGAGTCTTTATACCACCAATTATGGTTTAACTAAGTAAACCCAATCTAAGGCACTACAGTTGATTTGTGAGGTGTTGCGGCTATGTAAATTTTTCTGAATGATCTATTTTTGTTCTCAACACTTATTTAGGCATCTAAAAATCAAAGAATATCACAAAGTATTTTAGGGCCTTTTATTAGATGTATTTAATTGTCTATTTCTTATTTTCTTAAATTTTTGTGTATCTCACAAATAAATGTGTTCCCTGTGCAGCACCCAGCCTGCCTCCTGAGACTATACGGTGTGAAGCAACATCCCCACAAAGTGTGTCAGTAGCCTGGCGGCCTCCTCCTGTCAGGGGACAGAATGGTCTCATCAAAGGCTACAGAGTACTGTACACTCCTGCTTCACAATACTCAGGTGTGTCTTTTGTTTGAATTAGTAGGACAACTAATATTGTGAGAATATTGAAAAATAATGGAAAGAAAGGATAAGGAGTCAGTGATTTAGTACTGTACTGGTAAAATTCAACTTCTCTTTTTATACAACTAATATATCATCACGGTATAGGTGTAATAATATCAACACGTATGCTGACAGATGAAGAATCACAGGCAGAAACTGCAGCAGAGAGCACTAATATCTTCAGTTTGGAAAAGTACACAAACTACAGCATCAACGTTTTAGCTTACACTAGTGCTGGTGATGGTGTGCCTTCACAACCCATATTTTGTCGCACACTGCAGGATGGTGAGTTGTTGCTTACAAAGTTGTCTGTTGGCAAACTCATTATTGTCTTGTCCTGAGTTTATGTAGTTTAATGGTGTGGTTATGTTGTTTAATCACATTCCCTTGACACTCACTCTCAATTGTCTGGCTTTCATAGTGGAATGAATGTTGACATCTTGTACAGTAGTTACCTGGCACCAGACCATTGCCTTAGGTCAGTTACCTGTCCAACTTCTTAATTCTAACAAGATGTCCTGCACTTGTCACGTTTTTTTTAACTAGTTGTCAGTGTGTACAACTGTAGAAAAAACTGTACAAAGTATTAGAAGAATGGCTTACAGTAAACTCACTAATTAGCAGGTCCTCCTGTTTATGGCATCCTATTAACTTGAAAATATTATCATTATTACCCAAGTGTGTCATAGCTCCTGGCACACTCACAAAGTACAGGTTATGATGATTATTACTATTAAAGTATTATTATTGTACTGAAGGGTTGTTCATGGCTCATTGTCAGGATTTTCCATCAAAGAACCTCTACAAATATTCTGAGAACTAGAAAGTTTACTCTTTATAAACCTTTGAATCTCATACTTGGAAAAAAACTTGACTATAAGTTGTTTGTGTTGTATTTTAGTGCCAGATGCTCCTGCGGGGATCAAAGCAGTTGTGAGCTCTTCTACGACGATACTTGTGACCTGGCTGGCCCCAGTGAAGGTCAACGGTGTACTCACTAAATACACTTTATATATGGGCGTCACCAGTGAGCAGAGGACGGTCAGTCACCAATATTATGTAACATCATTGACAGTCTTTTTAGCTATTGTTAACTTTTGCATCATACACAATACTTTACAGTGGTCCCTCGGTTAACGAGCACAATCCGTTCCGGCAGGTTGCTCGTTAACCGAAACCATTGTTTCAATGGGTTTTTGGGTAATTGGTTCCAGCTCACCGAAAATTGCCTAAATTCAACAAAAATGGTAGAAAAGTACACTTACTTTGAGGTGTGTATGTAGAAGGCTCCTGGATGATGATGATGATGATGGGAATTAGAATAGGGGTGGAGGAGAAGGGAGAAGAGAAGGCATTGGGGTGGAAGAGAAGTCACCCCATGGCACCATTTCACCCATAAAATTTTAGTTCTCTTGGTGTAATTCAAGATTATTTTCTTTAAATCAACACTGCACTGCATTATATATTGTCAATATGCAAAATAAATTTCAAAATGACCAATAATTTGCTTGGAAACACAGAAAAAAAGCATTTAGTTGAAGAGAGTCTCAAGCAAGATGTTACCTCCACTGAAAACAGAGAGAGACTAACGCCTGTCTGGTGTGTTAACAGGCTGGATGGCACGCCAAAAACTAGTTTCTTTACCTTCAATTATGTTCAATAATTGTTAAAATGACTAAAAAAGTTAATATTAAACTTTTAAAATTATTGAATAGTATAAACTTCTTGATATTTACTAAAATAGTAAGGAATTTAAGCCCTAAACCGATTACTGTATTGGCGGACTAATACTACAGCTGGTGGACCACCAAATGCAAGTGAAAACATGTTGAAGTCGACTCATAAAAAACTTGTTAATCGAGGGATTGCTCGTTAACCGAAGTTAAGAATTTTATGGAAGGTAAATCGTTAACCGAAATCTCGTTAACCGAGGCACTCGCTAACCGAGGGATCACTGTACTATATTCCTTTGTCAGGGTTTATTGAAAATACAATTTTGATCTAATCCTTTGATAATACAGAATATGATATGTACTTTCCATGATATCTGACAGACATTATACAGTACACATATCCTTTAAACTATACGGTTTTAAACAACACTGCTTTCGTCCCCCTGCATGGGGGCACGGGAGGTTTTGTCCGTGCATCTGACAACTCCCACTACTTGAATTTTTTTCTATCAATTATGATCTTAAAACTAATACAGTAACTTGGTTTTAGCTAATGTTTGAAAATACTTGTAAAGATATTGTAATTTGTTTATTGTGTGGAAGAGTTAAGGGTTGCAACTTTCATATTCAAAATCTTTGTGGTAAAACAATTTTTGGATAATTAATAACTTATTTTGTGTCAGGTTGACCATTATAACTTTATGGGTCTTCCTACCTAATTATCTACTGAAGAAAGCTCAGACAGTGCAATTATACTATTTACTCTGGTACAGTATGTGAACCAAGATGTCTCCTTAAACTGTTTCGTAGTTTTAGTTGAAAAGGATATGTTTAGTTAGTCACTTTCCTGTTCTTTATTATTACAGTACAGGTATTTCTGTTGTTACTATTATTATTATTATTATTGCAATTATTATTTTACACAAGATTCAAAAGTGAAGCAAGTGTAAATTATTTATATATTCCCAGCAGAGAGAGCTACCAGCACGAACACTGGGCCCCGGAGAGACATCGTATGTGGCAGAGGGTGTCAGCACCAGAGATAAGTACGAGTTCTGGGTGTCTGCGTCAACACAACGAGGGGAGGGACTAGCAACTGACAAGGTGTTCGTCCATCCAACCACTGAAGGTACATAGTCTTCATTGTTAACCAGTTCATTCCTTCTTCCCTCTTCTTATTCTTATTATTGTTTTATTATTATTCCTATTATTATTATTATTATTATTATTATTATTATTATTATTATTATTATTATTATAATTATAATTATAATTATAGAATACAGTATACAAATATGTTACACAGGTTCTTTTGTTTTTAAGTTGGAATTCCTAAATGTGTACTGGTAACACACTATTGCCTTATCCAGTATCGGCTCAAATCGCATCATTTGGAGGCCCTCTGGAAGTTGCGTGGAAGGAGGACGTTCGGCTTCAGTGTCACTCTGTAGGTGAACCTCCCCCAGAAATCACCTGGAAACATAATGGAAAAAGGATTAAACCTACAGATAGAATTCAGGTAAAAAATTATAAATTTACACTACATTTACAGATTTTATGTGAACTAGAAAATGTAGGTACAGTAGGTATTATAGTAGATATTGTTCATTGATATCATTATATAAGTACCCTGATTATATATAACACTGATTATAGATAGATAGGTATACAGTTCAGCATGTATGTAGACAACGCAGGTATACAGTTCAGCATGTATGTAGACAATGCAGGTATACAGTTCAGCATGTATGTAGACAATGCAGGTATACAGTTCAGCATGTATGTAGACAATGCAGGTATACAGTGTCAATGCATATACAGTTCAGCATGTATGTAGACAATGCAGGTATACAGTTCAGCATGTATGTAGACAATGCAGGTATACAGTTCAGCATGTATGTAGACAATGCAGGTATACAGTTCAGCATGTATGTAGACAATGCAGGTGTACAGTTCAGCATATATACTGTACAGTATAGACAATACACGTATACACTTCAGTGTCTATATAGACAATGCAGGTATACAATGTACAGTCACGAACAGAAGTCACAGGACTGACTTAACCTGACTGTTATCTGGTGCGATTGTGTTGTTTTATCTCATTTGGTGTTGACACTGCTTTAGTTTAGGAGTCCCAGGAAGGGAGTGAACTTTTGTTGGTGGCTCTACAGTACATAGGCAGTGCTGGTAAACAATGATAAACAGTGAGGCAAGTTGATCAAGGGGAGTCAATAAAGCTATCAGATGCTTATTATTATCTAAAGCTTGGAACATGATATTCTTAGCTCTATAGGGGTGAGTGAAAACTGCATTGGTACTGTAATTGTTTTATTCATACATGGTTACACTGATTTATTGAACATTCACTTTTGTGGGTCAAGCCAATGTGTGCTTAACTCTTCATGAAGGGATTACTTATTTTGATGGTCTCTGTACTGTATTCTGGTTCTGCTCTCTTACTTAGTGTGTGTGGAGAGAAAGAAGTTTGTGAAGCAGTTTATATCACAGATCTTCATAGCATTCAATTTACGACACATTCATTAACTACAACTCAAAATTCTCTGTAGTGTCATTCATATTCTGTTTGCTAAAATCTCCAACTAAATTTTTTTGTCAGTAAAGATGAATTGCCTGCATTTTTATTATTAATCTCATCTCTGGTAATGGCCTTGTTCTAATTTCCTCAGGTACGACCTAATGGATCCTTGTTTATTCGAGATGTACAGAAGACTGATGCTGGAAACCTTAGTTGTACAGCTGTCAACACTAATGGTGCTGATAGTATCACATACTTCCTCACAGTACAAGGTAAGCGTCTACACCCTCACAGGACAAAGTGAACATCACCACTTGGATAAGAAAATATATAACAGCATCTATTTCTAAAATACTCAGTTTCATTCAAAAGTTTGATTCATGCATGTTTTCCAACCTAATGACCATCTTGGGGGCCTTGTCTCATTACACCAGCTTAGTCTTTAGGGTTAGTACCGGTACCCAATCTAACCCTTAGCTGTGACAGCAGAGGGTTAAAAAAGGATATCATGCCTTTCCCTTACAACCAGAACCCAACACAAAGATTCTCCGCAACAAGATAACCACTCAGACTAGATGTGTGTTGGGTCATTATAATGTAAACACTGTACATCCCCCCCCCCCCAAGTGCTTGTTCTCAATTACATGTTGGCTACTATAGAAACTTATAACACAAAAAATATCTAGGCTTAGGGTTGACCTTTGTTTCCAAACTGATTCTTTTATCAAACTACAGTAAGTCTTTGCCTCTGATTGGCTCGTTAGATGCTTGGTCGGTCAGTCATGTCTCTGTTACACACTGTTGGGAAATACTGTACTGAGAATGTACTGGTTCCAGAATGTATCTGTACCTGCTCTAGTGTTGGTGAAGTCTGGTCTTGAATGGGATCACACTCGGTGCCATCAGAACACACTCTTTATTAATTTACCATTAAAACCACTTTGTATTTTATGTTTTATTGTCTGTTGTTTATAGGTTTCCATTTTACAGTAGGTAATGTAAAATATTATCTGCTCGCATTTTCTTCTGCTATCAGTCCAATAAGTTTTGTTTAGTCTGCCAACACATCACCCATATTAGTCATTATTAGAATTCTTTGCCTTAACTCATGAATACTGTTCAGTTGGCAGGTGATGTGTATAGGATGCTGTCAGACTTTTACTCAGTACATAAGTAGTAATTTTAAGACCTCTATGCCTGGTTTTTCCGCAGTGCCACCAGCCCCTCCCACGTTATATGTCCAGGGCAGCTCAAGAGATGCCCTCACACTTCGCTGGAGCTTAAGGCCCCACCATGCACCAGTGAGGGGCTATATAATGAACTACAAGCGGGAGTATGGAAACTGGGAAGAAGTATGTTCTGGTTCTTGTTTATGAAGAACAGAAACTAAAATAAATACAAGTAATCAAAATTTCACAGTAATGGATGATAATATCTGGACTGATTTCTTGATGCAGACAATTTTGATGGTTTTATATTTCACCCATTCTTACTTAATAGTACTGTACAAAAATTTTTGGTTGTCATTATTTTGAAAGTTGACTTGTGCTATGTGTTGATGAAACTTATTGATTTTCATTGCAGTAATTATGATTTTCTTATATCGTGACCCAGGTGGAGTTACATACAGCCAGAACAACGCACACTCTTTCTGGCCTTGTGTGTGGCTCTCGGTACCAACTGTATGTGACGGCTTACAACAAGGTGGGCACTGGCCTGCCCTCTGAGATCCTCACCACTTCCACCAAAGGATCAGGTAGTGTTGACTTATTAACCATAATAGCTAGAAGACACTTAAAATAGTGATTACTATATTAATGTTCTAAAAGTGCCAATATCCATTGGTGATTTGGAATTCAAACTTATAAGTTGTCAATGTGTATGTGTGTTTGTTGTGCATGGTCATCTCCCAAACCATTTAGTATACAGTACATAAATCATCTGTACCTCATTAGAAAGTTCTTTCATCAGAGAGTATATCTTGGTGATAAAATGTGTACCAGTCATTTTTATCACCATAAGTCTCTGATGACATCACTCTTGCAAAAGTGGTAACTTGCCATTGATCACTTATAGTTTGTATTGCTCGCAGAATATGAAGCTGTCAGACATGACCATGGAGGATTTATGGTACACAGAATCTGGTGAACTTGGAGTATATTATTGAGAGCGAATGTAGATTACATGTGGTAAATGTAATACTACTGTATTTATATTAAATACAGAACCTTGCAGTACCTATTGACATTTTAGATATCCCCCAAACGTTCATTATAAACTTTACTATGGTTTACACCTGGCTCACCCTACTTACCATAACATTATAGTTGGAGAAAGTGAAGGTAGTCAGTTGCAGTGCTGGCCACACTTCCTCCTTGTGTACTGTACTGGAAAAGGGATTAGTCTACAGTGGGCTATATCCACACTGTCCCTAACTGGCCATCAGGCCTATGAGACTCACTTTCATCAAGTATACATTAGGTTTGCCACCGGGATTTTGTTAATAAAACACCGATTTTTATATTCCCTTGAGAAATTCCCACACCATTTAAGTTGTCAGTAGTACCATACAATACAGGTACATACTGTATATGAAAATGCAGTGTAAGATTTGTTATTTTTTTTTGCAAATTAATCTGTTATTGATCATCATCTTAATCTTTGTGTATTATATCAGAGCCAGTTGTGCCAAGTCGGTCTCGCCTCTTAGACGTCAACTCCACATCAGTGTTGGTGCACCTCAGTACGTGGGGTGATGGAAGCTGTCCTATTCTATATTATGTCATAGAATATCGTGTTTCATCATCCAGGGTTGGTAGTGATAATTTTTTAGAGCTTGACAGCCTTTAACAAAGAACTCTTGTTACTGCATCATCCTTGTTTGGTATTTTGCCTTCCAGTTTCTGTTCAACTTCCATTCTGTCCATTTTGGGAGCTTATATAAATTATCTTAACTCGGTACTATGTTCATTCAGTAACACCTCACACTTAACACCTCTTCCTCAAATATCACCAGTTTGCACCTGAAGTATCTTACCTTATATAATTTCTTAAACACCATGATGTTTTGACTTTGCAAAAATCTTCTCATTAAATTTTTTTATATACTGTACATGTGCAGTGACATGCCACTTTTTTGTACACAAACTCAATATCCTGTGTTCATTATACAGAATATAAGCCTTTAAAGTGAGTTTTTAATAAAAAGTTTTAACTCTTTTTTAGTAAAATTAACATAAAGAGATTACATCCTCTATTTTATTAATCTTTGTTAGTGTTATGCTTGTCTGTAGACCAAGCTTGCAGGCTTAAACTGCTCTTATAGTTGTGTCACTGACATAACTGTCCATCACACTACCATCACCAGACCTACACACATTCATAAGATTGGGTGTGTATCTCCATTTATTTTATATCCTTGCAAAGTGCAATTTTGTGATTATTTTCATGCAGTTCTTAATAGGTATTGTTAAACTCTGAGTCTGTGAGGTTTGAAACATATCATTGAAGAAGATAGCCAGTGCTGTAATACTGTTCAGTACTTGTCTTGGATATAATTTAACTAGACACTCACCACTTAAAGTCATACAATGTGATCCATATTTAACTCTGGCAGGACTGGATCTCTGTAGCCAACAATGTTGCAGCAAATGAGAAGACATATGTGATCCGCGACCTCATACCTGCTACACGTTACACAGTCAAAGTAACGGCTCACAATCATGCCGGATCAAGTGTGGCCACATACGATGTCACAACTCTTACTCCTGAAGGAGGTACTGTGTGTTAAGTTTTTGTATCTTATAACGATTTTCACAAAACCGAATATCATCTGTTTGAGCCATATGTTGTTGTTGTTTTCTTTTAATAAGATATGCAATGTAAGAAAAAAGTCTTTGTAAGATTTAGTCACCTTAGATAAACAGTACTTGCAATGATATCTGTACATCAAGTGTTTCATAAATGCATCATCTGTGACCCTCCACTAGAAATATAACTAATTCATCACTCAACCAACAGTGTTGTTGTCAAATGAAGACGGCAGTAGTGGGGGCGTGACATCACCGCCCCTCTACCAGGATCTACGGGTAGTTATTCCAGCAGCAGTAGTTGTTGTCATTGTTATTGAGGTCATCATGGCAATTGTGTGTGTCTTCAGGAGAAGGAGTAAGTGCATTCTTTAGATTAATTGTGCTTACATGTATATGATAATTCATTCCTCTACCTGTTAGATTTTTAAGAATTTTGTTCACTGGTTATATTGTATCACTTATCTTCAGAAAATCTAACATAGTAAAACACCTAAATAAACATGAAAAAATAATAATATACATGCATATGGGCAGATGACATTCACTGGCACATGCATGCACACACACACACACACACACACACACACACACACACACACACACACACTCACTTTTATGCACAATACATATGCGCATACATTTGCCTTTACACACACAAACATAAATTCATGTGAGCACACACAAACACACTTACATATATAAAATTCACTTGTTTAAGTCCACAAACATCATGTGTGCATGCATGTATTCACTTACATGAGCCCATGAACATCACATGCATGTTTACACACACACACACCACCATACACACACACACACACACACACACACACACACACACACACACACACACACACACACACACACACACTTAACAATATAATCAGGACAGGTACAGTCTCACCCAAAAGTTTGTTAACTCTCCCAGCCAGCTATTGCTGCACTGCCTGCTTCAGATGTATGAAACTACTGTATCTCGGTAACAACCAGAACATGAAACCGATACAAATGAGTCTAAAGGTTCGAAGTAACATCTGAAGCAGGCAGTGCAGCAATAACTGGCTGGGAGAGTTAACGAACTTTTGGGTGAGACTGTACAGAGAGTTAAAAGAGTTTCCTGAATTTCACGTTCAGTAAAATTTATCGTCAAACAAAATAACTAGCTGGGATAATTCTTGTGTCACTGGGTACAGACTCAGTCATATATGGGATTTCATGGATCAAACCTCCATTCCTGTTCTCCATTTTGTAGAGATGCGTGAACGAGGAGGTTCTGGAGGAATGGCTGAGTCACCTTCCACAGCACAGATTCAGAACCAACAGAATCAGCACCAGCAGTACTCAGCCCTCCCAGCCACCACACCTTCCACCCAAGATACTGCCACCAATAAGGAATCTTCTGGTAATGGAACTGTTGATGGTAATAATCTGCTCAGGGAAGCATGTTTTATTCACTCTTTAGCAACCCCTCAGCTTGACTTGCTCTCTGTCCAAAAATAGTTCTTTCCATGTATCTTTTTTAAGTTATTATTTCTATCAACATTGAATGCTTCATTTTGAAACAAGTATGAGTCAGTTACACAGCACTAACATCAGATTTTCTGTCAGTTGGAGTGTGAAATGAATTGGAGAGTCATATAGAGGGCTACTTTTACAGCTAAATATGCATTCTTCATGGGTACAAGTATTACATTTGAGAAATAAATGGTTGAATCATTAGATAAGTATTGTTAGAGGTAAGAAATTCGGTAATGTTAAAACACTTGCTCTGTTGCTCTGTGCCTTTACAACAGTGGTCTCCCAAATGATTGTACAGGGTATTTCTTACATTATTAATTGAAACCATCACTGAAACCTTAAATTAAATTTGTTTTTCAACCATAATTTCAATTAGATTCTGCCTGTACGTGTTCTCTGCACTTCCTCACTTGACACCAGTATGTTACTGTCAAGTGCACCCTGGCATTTTTTTTTTTTTTTTACAATTTCAAAGCAAATAATATCTTGCATGTGTAATGGTGCAGCTTCCCCACATTTTATCATATAACAACTACCTTGTCTTTCAAGATTTTGTATCCTTCAAGCTAGGATCATAAAAGTGATGTTTTACCAAACCAAAGTAAGATGCTGTTCTGTACTTGTTGGGTTATCTGACCAAGGCTGGTGATACCAATGTCTTGTAATGTCTCAATGTGCAGGATGTGAATCTTGGGTATATACATCACATATATGAAGGGCTTAGTGTATTAGCAATTCTTGTGAATGTTATTTAAAAATTTATTTATATGGGTTTGGCAAAAAGTTATGAGCTCATCCTTCTTAATTCTTTATTTATCATAAGAATTTGAATTTGATCCATTATGAATTGAACTACATGTATTTTTGTTTATCTTTGGCACCTAACCTTAATCATTCTGAGGACCATTGTACCACATTATGTTATCTGCTGTTTCAAAATTATTTAATACCACTTTGCAACTGTAACACTATTATTATTATTATGATTAACTTATATACTAATAGACTGCAATGTTCATATAAAAAATCAAACATTTCATATTCATCCTACTTGTGGGATCTTTTTACAATTGTTCCAACCTACTCTCAAATGATGTTTTAGATCATGAATATACTGTACTGTATTCCAAATTTAATAATGAAATAACAAAGTCAGACAAAGACGTTAAGCTGCTTCAGTAATTATTGAAGGCCTTGTCTACCCTGTGGTACAGGTGATGTTAGTGGCTGAGCTTAGAGTATTTGTTACTGACTGGGCACAATTTGCTGACTGAAATAGGAACCATTCAATGTGAGGATGGTATTCAATATTTTAAACATATAAACAGGTGTTACCACAATGTCTAGACTATTTCTAGTGAATTATCTCAGACAAGCTGCCATCAAGCTGAGATGGTTTTATTGTATATAATGTATGAAATTTCTTGACTTGTGTATCAGAATATATATTTGGATTATTCAGACTTAAGTTAGTATTGACATTGGCATCTTATAATTGGCATTACTATACCATTTATCAGCAGATTACATTGAGGACATCTGCCCATATGCGACCTTCCAGCTGCCAGCAGTGCCAAAGAGTCTTTATGGGGAGAGTACAGACTCAGGCATTGTCTACTCTGGACCGTATCACTCTGTTCAGGGTGCTTTTGTCTACCATGATCCCAAGAGGGCATCATTAGAGACATTCCCATTAAGACATGTAAGTTCTATAACCATAATGATCATGTTTTTGGGTTGGGTAAGAGTCTTATGGGTATTGGTGACGGAAGATAAGTTTGCAGGTATGAGTAAGGAAAGAAATTAAGTGTGATAAAAGTATGTATCACATATTTTTAGTTGCCCACATTGTGTGTAGATTGTCTTTCGCAACTTAACCCTATAGCCTCATATCTCAGAATGCACCACATTGCTTCAGTGAGGACAGCTTCAAGAGAAATTTTACAGGAATCCCAGCTGTGAGTTGGGCTGCCACCATATTAATTATCATGTTTTTATCTTATCATGGTGACCATTGTAGCTAAGTTTCATTGACCCTACACAGTGTAGGAAATGTGACAATGAAAATAAAAGTAAACTGGATTGTTACTTGGGGCCTCATTTTGTAAGGAAAATATTATAGCAGAACTTATGAGCATATTACAACCTTATGGATGGATGGATGAATGACAGCAAATGAAGACAGGCTGTGTGTATGTTCTTGATTCAGCCACCCTGCATATTAGCAGGAAAAGGATTATTTTTAAATTTTTTTACTACTAATTTATGCATAATGGGCATTATATCCATTTTATCACATTCTTTAGTAAAAATCTGAGTCATTAAATTTTTTATATAATTATATTGTACTCAAACAATTAAGTTTCTTAAGCTATAACAGCTTCATAGATATACAGTGTTTAATATCATGAATAAACAAGTATAATATTCTCGCAGCAAAAAGAACCAGAATACACCAAAGTGAGAAGAAAAGGTAGAAGAGATCCTCATGTGGAGAGTACAGGTATGTACAGGTGGTCTGTGGCAGTGTTACACAAGTTGATTTTGTCAGCTCACATACAGACAACAGTTGATATTGCTTCACATTAGTTATGTTTTCTTTACCTGTATACTCTTAATGGAAGAGTTTTCAGGAAATCATTTGATAATTTGTTGTCCTTTTAGTGTCTGACAACTTTTCTTTTTGTTGTAGTAAGATACTGTGGGTATATTAGAAAGTTTGATTAGTATTGTAAATGAGAAATTCCACAAATTATATTAATAGGAAATTTTTGTTAATAAGGCTATTGTAGACTGTAAGAATGTACAGTATTATTTAATGGTGGTCCAAAATGGGTGGAAACTGTTGGAGTTTGCATCCTTTAATATTATAATATTAAACTGAGTTTCTAAATTATCCTAATATCTTCAGATTTCTCAGATGATAATGTGAATATTTTGTGTACCTACTTGCAGAGTCTGATAATCTGGGCAGTACAGACTCAGAGGTAAAGAAAATCCTCTCTCTCCACATGCCCATCAGTGAATATGATACTTTAGGGAGTGATTCAGAAGGTCCAGGAACCAGGGACTCTCCACCCACCTTTGCAGAGTCTGCAGGGTTAGCACATGCCCATATCCATGCCCAACCTGCACACAGTAGCAGATCACGTCCTGAGTCTGCCATAAGTCAAATCCGCAGTAGCACCGATATATTCAAGCACCGTGTTAGGAGTAGACAACAAGGTGAGTTGGTCGTGACAATATTATAGCGAGGATTACAAAAAAGTTGATGTGTACCTTACAGTATTATGGTGTAAGCAGTTGTAGTGAAATTTATTAAAACTTTTTTGTATTCAGCAAACTAAAGCATTAAGGAGGTTTTTGCACTACCATTACTATACAGATACAAGGGGACACAAAAGGTAATACTCGGTGCATAAAAAGACCGAACAGTTCTGCTGTTATTAAGCAATGTAGATGAAATCAATAACATAAAGGTTTTTATCACCATTTTCCACAATTGCATGAGTTAGCTGTGACTATTAGATGGTATGGTGAGAGAACTCCTGTCAAGATACCCATTATAATGTTGAGCCTCTCTCCACTAAGAAACAGGGAAATTTATGGCGCTTTGAGAATTTATAGAGTTGCACATTTGATTCTCATATGCTTGTGCTACTTGTAACCTTTAATGATACAAAATCACTTTTTTAAACATTGCTCCTTGATCTTGTCTTTGGCAATTCTTCATTTTTATTTCATTTAGATATTTGAGATGGAGTCACAAGACAGCTATATTATGACCTCACTAATTAGCATTTCATGAGTTTGTAGGTTAGGAAAATTTACACAGAATTTGCTTTTAAGGCAACTTATATCAAATGGAAACCATAAAGTAAAACTCTTACATGTTATAATTTAATTGATGTGATGGTATCACAAGCCTTCGTCCTCCATGGGGATTTTAGCCCTTGAATATATTTTTCTCACAGTCTACAGAAGGGCTTTTAATGCATGAAACCATTGCCCTAAATCTTAGTATATTTAATAGAGGTTGTGAGTACAGTACCTCCTGCTTTGTACTGAACTTACACTTCAGTCATTCCTCTGTATCTTTGATTTATTCCTGCAGAACCCATTAAGTCTCAAGAGAACAGCAGCTCATCGACAGATACATCAAGCTCTGGGCGCCGGGCACACCCACGGAGGGGCAAGAAATCAACTAAGCGGCAGAGTCGCTCAACCTCTCGCACGGGCTTTGAAGAAACTTCTTTCAGGTATGAGTTAATGGTGTTCTCTTTTTCTTTTTTCTTTACAGTTCTACAATGAATTTTTATTACAGGCTCATGTCTCCTTCAATTATATTGTGATTATTGATTCTTTGACACAGTATGTGTTGTATTATGATGATTGATCACATTCAACTATTGTACAGTATAACTCACAGCCCAACTCACATTTGTCAAGTCTCTACACTACACTTCTCACCAATTGTGTTTTAGTCTTGTCATTTGAAATTTCAAGGTACAGTATCTTGAATATAAGTACCGTAAATAATTTAGTTTTGGACTGTTTCATTAGTAAGAACATGTGAGCTCATTAGTGAAATTTTAAAATTAATTTGCATGTTGCACCATTATTTCATGTCTATATTTGTGTTACCCTGAAATAATGAATATATTTATTAATACTAAAACCAAAGATTCCTTAGTTTTGGATTCAACTGATAGTGTCTTGTGATTTCTTGGTTAAAATGTGGAACACCAGATCTAAAAAAAAAATAGTAATACCCTATAATCTATTTATGATAAAATTTTATTGAATAATGTTAGTTATTTCCATAAACTAATGATACTTATGTATTGCATTTTTTCATATATTATTTTTTGCTTTGAAATTTGATGAGTAGTGTAATTGGCATATTTCTTGACTGTTATATAAAGTTTCTTTATTTTGTGGTAACATTTAGTGAACATAGAAGATAAATTAGCCCCTCATGACATTGTATGCATTAACTCACCGGTAAAATCTGTTGTTTAACTTCCTCTTTATAAATATTTATAAAAATAAACATCCTGTACTACTTAATTCTTATGAGAGCTTGATACAAAGCAACAAAGTGTGTGCGTGCGTGCGTGCGTGTGCGGTATGTTTGGGATGAACTGTCAAAAATGTACATGAATACATTAAGGGAGTCATGTAAGGTACAGTACACTAGAGTGAGTGTATACACTTGTAATGCTCAATCTTGGAATTTACACCAACGTTGTGTACTGATATAGAATCCATGGATGATTCACCAGTCTTCACATCACTCTACAACATCTGTAACATGGCAATAAATATTTTAACAAAGTAGTAGTATGATCTTCATTGGTGGAAATGTAATCACATCTTATTCAACACACTGTCATAAGGGTAAGGCAATTTTCTCACATAAATTATTTACTGTATACTGTATTTGGTAAAGTTAGGTCACATGTGATTGTATCCTAAACTTCATTATCAAACCTAGTCTTTTCAAAAGCATATACTGTTTATATATATATATATATATATATATATATATATATATATATATATATATATATATATATATATATATATATATATATATATATATATATATATATATATATACTTTTTTATTTTTGTTTAATTTAATTTATTTTATTTTATTTTTTTATTTTTTTTTTTACCATACATATTCTTCCTTGGATTCCATGATCAATGAACATGATCTTTAGACTATAAATTTTCCAAGATTGTACATAATATATGCATATGTGCCTGCATAAACAGTACGCTGTGTACATATTCATATTTGAAAGCATTCAGTGCTTGTTGGAATGTGTTTTAACCTGCACACAACTTGTGTTTAACTTGGTGTAAAAGTTATGTGTAAGTCTGCCAACTATTTTCTGTATGGGTGTTAATTAGTGTTTGTTTATGATTTGACTCATTGTAAAACAGTCAAGGTTCTTGAAAACAAATATCATTATACAGGACTAAATATACCAAGAGATCTCTAAAGAGTTACTGTATTGTGATTTCTGCTGATGTAACATGACTGTCATAGCTCTGTTTTTATATGTAATTTTTGTGTGCGTGTTATTTTTGTGTGTCTCAAGAATCTTGACAAATAGTTTACATTGTATGCACAACATATTTTACACTGATTCTGCTTTATAAAATCTCATGTTGACATTAATGTTGGGATTGACATTGTTCGGTTCGACAATTCTCTCTCAGGCCAATCAAGTGAGCAGGTAGCGTGGAGGTGTGGAGGAGGCCGGCCGTGTGGGCGTGAGACGGGCCTGGGCGAGGTCAGTGCCTCCTCCCTCTTGACTCCTCCAACTCTTCTACTTAACCACTTCTGGTTGTAATTCCAACATCACCTCTGTCACTTAACCCCATATCCTACTCATTTCCAGCACTAGTGATTTTTTTTTTCACTGAAAAGTCCATTTTATATTGTTATTCACTTTCACCTATAACTGTTATCCACAAACTATTATTACAGAGCACTTCACCCAACACGCTCCAGCACCAGAGTCACATCATTCACCCTCAAATTTGATGTTATTATTATCCAATTCACTTACTTTCTTCTCACTGATAGTTACCAATTTTTTGTGACTTCATCCATGACTTTAGCACTATTGTTATTATTTTGTTGTCTTTTTCACTATTCTTCCCTACAAATCATCTCCATTATTATCACCAGCTTGTGCTATCAGTGTCTGCCATCAACTGTTGTAAGTCAGTGTTGTATTGCCTTAACCTTTCACCTGCACACTCCCATAGTTATGTTCAATAATTCATGTTACCATCTGCTCTCCCTGACTTCTCAAACCCAATTCATTATATCCATTTGATTTCATTCATCTTAAAATGATAATCCAGTCTGTCCTCACTGAAATATTTCCCCTTTACCCCAAACCTCGTTACAGACAGCCTTCCTTTGTTTTATTCAACCTGCTGCATGATGTACTATACTATGTACCACATCATTTATTCTCTACTTAATGTACTACGTTTATTTACGATGCATCCAATATTCTTCCTACTTTGTCTTCCACATCTACTAAGTTAGATGGATGAGTCTACTTTGCTCAGCTGTAAACTGCCACTAACACTCTCTTTGTTTCTTTAAAAAGTTGCCTGTTAAGGTTATTCATAATGGCAAGACTGCCATGAAGTAATACTGTACTGTAATTGATTATGGAAATATTTATATATAAAAGAATGTTAATTTTATACTTGTACAACTTATACAACTATTTCAGCTAGAAATGATTATGTGTACTTTGGAAGTTAAGAACAGTTTCTTGTGCAGAACATTACATAATTTTATTTATTTTTTTATTTTTTTGTTCCCATTTTTTTTATCATCATTACTAATTTTTCTTAAAAGTTTTGTGCTTTATTTGGTGCTTATTCACACCCACTGCATATCTAGGAGGGCTTAATTGAATTGGAACTGTCTGTCTGTCCATCCATCAATTTGTACAGGCATACATGTACTATACATCTGCACTTCCATCCCTTCTCAAGTTGGTTACCAGATTTGTAAAAAGTTTACAGTGTGTGAGCATTAAAATTTAGACTTGAGGGGCTTCCTTGGGTTATGTAATTAGGCTTTTAAGTTGTTTTATTGATTTGGGTTTTTCTATAATTTTTCAGCATATCTGTAGACTGATATTTTGTGGTTGATAAGATGTATTGTATTTCTTTCAATTTTTCATTCCTCTACAGTATGTTTATTGAGCATTGTGTTTGATGGACAGAGTACTGTACTGTCGTTGAAGCCACTTCAGAATGATGTAGCGTAAATCAGAGTTTCAAGTATAAAAGAAAAAACTAGTAAGTGGGTTAAGTAGTATGACAAATACCAAATACAGTAATAGATTCATTTAATTGCAAGAGAATGTGACAAGGAAGTGTAATACAATGCTTTCATCTTGGGGTCAATAATATCAGTACATGTACTGTATTCAGAGATATTTTGTAACTGATGGAACATCTTTGTCGGTGCAGTGATCAGGTACTATCAAAGAGTGTGTGTGTGTGTTTTTGTAATAGGTTTATGCTGTTGCTATTGTAGGATGAAGGAGAGCACAGTGGTGTGTTGTCTCACAGATTCTTGAAGTAAATTATCTTGTTATATGCAAAGTGATATAATAAAGAATATATGAAATGACTGGAAAAGGTAATATGTACAAGGGAATGTGAAATGAATGAGTGTGTGTGATAATACGAGAGCAAATAAAGAATAAATTCCGGTGTGAGTAATTGAGCTCTTGGTAACACCACATATGACATGATCTGGGCAAGAACACAAGCAGCAAAGGTAAAAAAAAAATGCCAGAGAACACATTAAAAGTTTCACAACATTTAACTAATTATAATGGTAAAATAAATAAACATATCTCAAGGTGTTATGTTGCTTATCTTATTCACACCTGGAATGTCTTGTATATTCTGCCTGGTGTAGTATATTCAGATTTTCTTTCTTCATTATTTTTTCTTGTGCATATATTATAGTACCTGATGCATATGTCAGGAATAATGAAATATTGAGCATTAAAATTCTTAACCCTTCAATTCAAAGTTTGAGGGTACTGTACAGTACAATGCCTACAGCAGCAATGCCATCCATCCATCTTTCTATTCATGACAAATCCTGGTTTCTGTTAATTAAGTTTTCATACCCAGTGGATTGACTTCAGTTTTGATAAAGAGGAGTACAGTATGAGTAGTTCTTACTTTTGTAATTTAGTCATAATTAAGGTGATGCAGTGTGTCCAGTGACTCTCACTGCACTGAACAATAGTTAGTGATTTACTGATGATATGAAGGATATTATAAAGAAGTCTTTTGTTAATAAGACTTGTTTTAATAGTTTATCTCCTTTAATTCAGTGGTGACTGTAGTTTAAGACTACCTTGTACAAGGTACAATAAATAATGTGAGTGTACTTTTGAACACAAGTTTCGTCTTAATAGGGTACAGTATTTGATACACAGTTCATTTTAGTTCATATATTTTTGGGAATTGTTTCCTGGTTTAGTTAGCATATTGGTACTAAGATAGGAAAAATTTAAGTCATTATCATCAGTACTTTTTATGGTGTGCCATTATACTTTATTGTCAGTAAGTGAACAGTTTTTGGTTGCCTTCTTTATGCTGTTGACTCCAAGTCAAAAAGGTGCAAGCCCCTTGGTCAAGATAGGTTGCTGGCTTCTAAATGGTTTTTGTGTTTGTACAATAATTCAGTGACATCAAGATCCTAGAATTATCCAAACCCTTCCCATGTGTGTTTTGCCATCCCTCAGAACTGGGAGAGTATATAATTTTTTTTTTACTTTATTTTGAAATATAATTATGTTAAGCTTTACTGTGCAAAAGCCTTAAATTATACTGTATATAGAACATACTGTATGTTCTGTGGCAAAATGCAGTTTCAGGCCACCTTCCCTTGTGGAACAGGGGCTGTCCAGTGATCCAGTAATTGGTCATGGAAGTGGGTGTTGAGCTATGGTGTACTTGGTAAGCACACAACCTTGGGTTTGAGTCCCAAGTTGTTTAAAATACGGTACAGTACCATTCATTTGTCATTGTTTCATATGTGTGAAATTATTTTAAATTAAAAAGATTAGTGTTGTAGGTGCATTTATTGTTGACACTTTGTCATAATACAGTAATACCTTCGTTAGCCAGAATCCCTCAAACCCGGAACTCTGCGATAGCAGGAATTGAAATTTTCTTGGAAAATCGTTCCCAAAGCCAGAATTTTCCGAAAAATTCCGGCTTTGGGAACGATTTTCCGAGGGGCACATTTTCCGGAAAATTGCAAGAAAATTTTCCCAGTACCTGAAAAATTCCGGGGATGGGGAATTTTTTTTCCGGGTTTGAGAGATGAAAATCAGGCTCATTTTCTGGAAATTCTGAGAAAAATTTTCCGTTACCCGAAAAATTCCAGCAATGAGGGATTTTTCTTTCCGGGCTCGAGAGATGATGTAATGGGCAATTTATTTGTCATGTTGCATGAAGAGTTGTTTATTCTCAGGACTTATCACTTTCCAAAGATTCAAGTACGTAATCTTTCCCTCTTAATTACAGTACATTCCACCTCACATGTTGCATATTACCTGTGAAAATTTTATCTTTGAAAGCAAGTTGGTCTAAAGGGGATGGTGTTATTATGTTACTCTATTTTTCATTTAATTCTTTATTTTGTTTAAATATCTAAAGGCTCTTGATGAAATTGTTGGAATGAAGAAAGGAGCATCATAGATGGCTTTAATTTGTCAGTTTTACAGTGGCAATTTCTTTTCCTCTAGCATCTATTACCCAGAAGTCAGGTTCTGATGCCGTACCTCTGTTTCAGTTTCTATGGTGTATTATATAAGAATCTCCTTCTCTAAAGATAGGAAGTACAGTATCTAATTCATTGCACATACTTGTTGATGGACACCACCTTATGAGATGATGAAATTTACATGAGGAGCATAGGAAGATATAAGTACAGAATTGTTGCTTAAAAGGTCCAAACAACAAGTGTACTGTGCATACAGCTATTCATTCTCTCATTGCAACCTGTAGGGGTTCTCATCCAGATTAATGGAATATATAAATTTGTAGTGATTTAAACTTTGTACCATAACAGAGTAACCAGTTATTTCTTTTGTAATAAACCGTTTGTTGGGTATTAAAGTAATTTGTATAGTACAGTATTTACCTATAAACTAGACATTTTATGGTACAAAAAATTTGCAACGAGATTGGAAGGAAACTAAAAAGCAGGATTTCTTCAAGATATTTATAAATATTCTCCTGTTTAGTGGGTCATGCTCAACAAGAAAGTTTATAATGTTTTTATATCTTCCAGTATCTTGCTATATAAATTTCTTAAGATTTGAAACTCTTTATAATAATAACACAATGCATGAGTTATTCTGTCTTGCATACAAGTATGAGCAGGAAAATATTGTATATTTTTCTTACAACTGCCAATCATCTTCTGTTCTTACATGCTGTCTACACTGTAAGTTCTAATATATTCTTTATGAATGTAAGTATTGCTGCCTCCTAATATGGGACTGTCATTTTCAACTTTCTTATCGTGTGTTACAGTTCTTGTGATGTCATCAGTTGCTGCTTTATCTTAACTCTGGCATGTTATCTTCAGGTTATGGAATCATTAATTATTGCTCTACAGTATCAGCTGTACTTGTTATGTTCAAGGCTTTCATTATTTTCTTGGCTCCATTACCTCTTTTGTCTGGTGTTTTACACCTGTCACTCTCACTAATTCCATCCTCTTACATATCATATATGACTATACCAGTCTCTTA